ATTTTCAAAATCGCTCTTACAGAACCAGTACTGAAATATTTTTCCTAGCAATATATATGAATTTGTTAATATTAAAACACATTTTCATTAATTTTGGAAACCTACTTCTATGACTGATATGCGTGTATCTGAAACAATTAATCATTTTATTTTTTTGGAATAGGCCTCAAAAATATTATATGAATGTTGACTGATAATTATGATAATTTGCTTTATCAAACATTGCCAGGAATGTGTGGAATATTTGGAAATTGGATTTCCTTGTGAGATCACGATTGTAAGGTCAGGCACTGGTGACAAAAGGAGGCAGATTAAAAGCTGCTGTACAAGGCTTTATTGAGATTCGCTCCAGGGCGAGACCCTCCAGTCCAACAGAGCGGGTCCAGAGGAGTCGTGCCCAGGCTCAGCTGGACTGGAATTTTATTGGGGTTTAGGGCAGGAAGGGAGAGTGTGGGACTGGAAGGGAGGGTTTTAGGATTCCTTGTCCTCCTAGGGTTGGTTGGGGGATCTTGCTGAGCTCCAGGTCCTTCTAGGATCAGTCAAGAGATCCCACTGATTGACACGTGGTTATCACTGCTTGTCTGTTGGTATTTGATTGGTTATTGCCCGGTGCTTTGTTCTCTTAGCCACCTCAAACCGACCTAACAACTATACTTTCAGAGTTTGGTTATAACTCCTGAGCTCAAGGCACTTTCACTGCTGTGACTAAAAGACCTGACCAGAATAATTGTAGAGGAGAAAAATTATATTGGGGGCTCATGGTTTCATAGGTCTCAATTAAAAACACCAGGTTACATTCCTTAGGGATCAAGTGAGGCAGAACATCTTGGCAGAAAAGTATGGTAGAGGGAAGTGGCTCACATGATGATCAGGCAGTTGAGAGAGAGAGAGACTGAACTTAGCTTACGAATTTATACCCCAGAAGCATGCCCCCAGTGACCCACTTCTTCCAGTCACACCCTACCCACCTTCAGTTATCATTCAGTTAATCCTATCATGGAATTAATTTACTGATTGGGTAAGGCTTTCATAACCCACACACTTTCATAACCCACTTTCATAACCCACATTTTACCTCTGAATATTCTTGCATTGTTTCACACATGAGCTTTTGGGGACACCTCAGATCCAAACCATAACACATTGGGTTTGATCATCAGCACTGAAAAAAAAAATTAAATCTCTATTTTCAAATTTTTTTCTTTATTTATAGAATATTATTGAGTCAATTTCATAAGTCTTTAAAGTTAACACACAGAAGCATTTGTGTATGTATGTATATGTGTATACATATGCATGAAGAGATTTATGGTTTTTAATTTTCCACCAAAATATTTTAGAACATAGGGAAATAATATCTTACACTGTAGGAAAATTTTGTCTTTAAATTGTGTTTTGTCAAAATAAAACTATTTTAGTTCATAAATATCAAATAGCCATTAACAATAAAATATAAATTTGACTTAATATGAATCAACAAATTTTTATTAATTTTTCAATTTATATCCCATTTTGAGATTTTATGTGAGATTAAATTGAAAATACATCAAGTTTCAAAACACATCAGTACACTGATTTTTATAAGGTACTTTACAAGTTTGCCTTTATTGGTCTGCTAAATCTTGCACATTTTTCCATATCTATAAGAATAAATTTTGTGCATTTGGGAATTCCATTGCAATCATAGCAAATTAAACTCAAAACCTTTATACTGGAACACACACACACACACACACACACACACACACACGGAACTGACAGAAGCAGAGAGTGGAGTGGAGGTTACCAAGATATGAGGGAGTGGAGTAGGGGAAATGGTGAGATGTTGATCAGAGTGTAAAGTTTCAGTAATGCTTGAAGAGCATACTCTGGAGACTTAACTTATAGAATGGTAGCCACAGTTAATAATAACTAGTGCATACCTGAAGTTTATTAAGAGAATAAATCTTAAATTTTCTCATCACAATAAATGATAACTGTGAGATGATGGTTATGTCAGTTATTATGTCAGTGTGACTATGGTTATCATTCACAATGTATACTTATACCAAAATATCAAATTCTATACCTTAATTATGTAAGATTTTATTAGTCAATAAAGATGTAAAAATAAAATAAATTTCAAATAGAATATAAGTGAACATGCCAAGTTTAAAGTATTATCAGATATGGGTTATTTTTCTAATAAAACTTGGGTTTATCCAAACTAAGTTTTCATAAAGAACTTGTGTTGTAGTTGGGTTTTTAAAATTTGCTTTTTGTTTTAAAGTGAATTGTTTTCTGTTTCTGTTCTCAATTCACAGAATTTGTGTTTTTTTTCCTCTATCACTACTCCTTTGTTTTACATTTATCTCAAATGAACTCATACTATCTGTAATGAATTGTTATTAACCCAACCTGAAACAAATGACAAATGATGATAATGGTTAACAATAGCAAAAACTGTACCCTATTAGGAAATTAAACAACAACAGCAGCAGCAAAAACTGGCCTAATGTTTTTGTGAAACCTGAATTTCCAAGAGTTTTTTTTTTTTTTTTTAAGAATTCTCTATGATATTTACTACAGTCACCTTCTGGTGACACAAATGTTGGTTTGGAGATTGTTTTCACAGAAAGTTTCCAATGAAAATAATTCTGAATTTTTATCACTGTAAATAATGATTCAATTACTTTTATACATTTTTGATGTTTTCTCTGTATTGCTGGATTAGGATGTATTTGAACATATTATTGCATTCTTTTCTCATCCTTTATTGTGGTTCTAAAAATACATTTAATATTAGGTATGAAGAATATTTGTCTTAAGAAAAATTTGTCTTAAGAAAAATAATATTATAGGGATTGAATATGCCCTTTCCCTTAATTTTAAGAACATTTTATACAGAAATAGTAATAAAATTCTAGATTATTTTTGCAAATGAATTTTGTAAAGCAGTGTTGTTTTGTATACAACAATGATGAAGACTCTAAATATATTGCTGTCATAGTAATTTTTGGTTTATATGCCTCTTCACATATTCTCATTGATTGAAGGCTTCCTTGATGTATCTTTAATTAACATTAAGATTCTTGCAGCTCACAATGGTGACTAATATTTACAGCAACTGATTGCTTATCAAATTTTCTTATGTATAGATAAGTTATCTGTATGTAAGTTATCTATATGTAATTTATAATGTAATGTGAAAATTGTTTTGGTATAATTGCAAAAACTATATCACTTAATTTGAGATACCTTTTTCAAATGAATCATCTTTGTAATAAGAATGTACCACTCTTTTTAAGAAGCATGAGTACACTAAAATATCAAGTTGTAAGTTTGGCATACATGTAAGAGGATGGTCACATTTACACTTATGTCATCACACAGTTGCTTAATCATCTGCTCAGACACTGCATCCACACAGGGGAACTTTAGAACTCATTCACCCTCAGAATCCACTGTTAGTCTGAACTGCCCAATGAGTATATCGGCTTTTATTTATCTTTCACTGATAGCATAGAATATATTTTCAGCTTAAGATATTCACTGATGAATCAATTTTAATTTAGGGACTAAGTAAAATTCTCATTAAGCCTGACAAATGGTAGCCTTGAGTAGACATTTTAAATCAAGATACCTCATGTTAGTTATGAAATATGGACTGCATCAGGATGAAGTGTTTCTTTAAGAAAGTAATGGAAAACATTTAGCTCTGAGGTTATATTATACTTATGAATAAACACTTCTGAATAAAAACTTCTGAAGTGAATAAACACAAACATAAACCAGGAATAACTAATGGGTTCATCCTATACATTTTTGTGCCGGTATTACGGGTAGGATAAACCATTGTTTTTCGACAGAAAAATTTACTTATGGAAAGAAGAATTGAATACAGAAAGATTTTAAGTAAAAATTGTAGCAGTACCCTGTGAACTTGAGTGTCTTTTTCAGTATTTTTTTCATATTATTTTATTACATATATTTTTTTCTGAAAAATAAATTAAGTCCAGGTCTATTAGTCTAATTATCACAGAAGTGCCCAGGTTATATTTCTCTTACAATAATCATATTTATTATCTTCTTTATTATAAGAGAATATAATAATTATATAATAAGATATAATTTTAAATTATATAGATAGAATATTGGTGTTTGTGATCTATAATCTGTGAACTTAGTGTCATTATTTGACTGAACAGAAGGGAAAATGGGAATGAATCATTTTTATTATTTCTTTTATATTATACATATCATTAGGATACATTTTGATATAAGCATAAAAGTATGAAATAGAATTTGCTATAATTTAGTCCCCAGCACTTCCCGTCCCTTACCCTGTTCCTCTACTCTACTGATCTTTGGGCAATTTATTCATAATTTTTTTTCATGTAGGTAGACTTTATATTGGAATTCACTGTGCTATATGCCTGTGTGTACATACTAATTCTTAAAATGGTTTTATTTATGTACTAAGTAGTATATATAAAATAAATTAAAATATAAATTTTTAATATATGAATATTAAGTTTTTACTGATTTTTTTAAGGCTTGGGTAAAATTTGTCACTTTTCACTGTCTTTAAAATGTATATCATCACAGTCAGTGAATTTATTTTATAACTGATGAAACTCTGGTTATGTTTTCTTCAGGACATTTTTTTTTTAAATGGGTGTGGGTCTTTCCTGTTGAACAATGTTCCTTACCCATCTTCACATTGGCAATATTCTATGGACCAGTTTGTGTTGCTTCAGCAGAACTTAACTTTTGCCTCAAAATTATGATGTATTCAACCAAACATTAGTTAATATAAGAAAACTGAATATATTGATTTTTATGTCTAGTTTTTAAAAAGAATATTATAGATAATGATTCCCTTAATCACTCTACAGTCCTAAGTCCATCAAAATCATTCTTAAATAGGTAACTAGAACTAAAATAAAGTTAGTGTTGATGTTGATAATGATTTAACTTAACACAAACTTACTGTTTCTTCATTTTTTTTTAAATTTCAGATGCAATAACAGAACCCAATGTGCAGTGGTGGCAGGCCCTGATGTTTTTCCGGACCCATGTCCAGGAACCTATAAATACCTTGAAGTGCAGTATGAATGTGTTCCTTACAGTATGTATATTCCTGTCTTTTTTTGTAAGAAAAAAATATTAATCTTTGTTTTACATGAATTTATAAAACATTATCTGTGAAAAAATTTAAGTAATCATATAAATGAAAAAAGGGGGCTGATTTTAGCTTTTGAGGATCATAGACCTTCCCCACCATTGGAAGAATCAAATATTTCCTGCATATTCCTGCAGTATTTATTTTTAATATTTCCATACATCAGCACCTATTTTGACACTCTTTTCTTGATACAATAATATAAAGTATTTAAGAAAAGGTTGAAGAAGTACCATGCCAATCCTGCATTGTCCAGGTCTGAGCAAATGGGAAAATAGAGTAAATAATGTGCATATAGTGGTACAGAAATTGATTACTTTTGAATTTCATACAAGGAATTATAACTAAACTTCACATGCTGTCAATACTTGGAGATTTAGAAATATATTCCAGAGGAAATAGACTGTAACAGGTATAAGGATTTTATGAGTTAAGGCATTCTTCACAGTATATTTTTTAAAGCTTCAGAAGGATATCTTTGCAACCTTTATGTCAGATATATGATATGGGCCAGGAATATTTTTTTTTCTTTAGGAATAATGAAATATCAAACAATCTGAAGTGGAACATTTTCTGAATTTTTTACCCAAAGGAAGACTTACCATCGCAAAAATTTTTTGAAGTGACTAGTTAATTATTCATGGGATTTTTTTTTTTTTTTTTTTTTTTTTAGTGAAAATCACTCAGGAAATCCTGTAGTCTCATTTTAGATATTCAGCTCATCCCAAAGATAGAAAACACCTGGGATCATAAACAAATCCCAGGTTCCAGCTTCCTTTGATGTCTCAGAAGGAGCAAAATATCTGGGGATCAGCTGGTTTACTGAGCCAAGAGATAGTTCTAAACTTGCCTGTTTTGCACTTATTTAAAGCAGCAACTCTTTACTCAGGACTTAGAAATGAACATGCTTCAAAAATAGAAATTTGACCACCAAGAAATAAATTAAAAATTAAAAATCGTAATGAAAGAGATCAAGAGACAGTTTCAACTTTTGTTATCTGTAGTGTGGTTGATTAGAGAAAGTTAAACCTAGTAAAGTTTGATATACTGATCTTCCTTGTTATGAAAAAGCATTAAGCATTTTGTTGAAATCTCAATTATACTATGTTTCTTAATTTTATATCTATAGGCCCTTCTATGAAAAATATAAAACTCCTACTGAGCATTTATTGTTCAAGAGTGAATTTTTAAGGAAATGAAATTCAAAGGCCATCTTGGAAGTGGGATAGTTATGCCTGGGTTGCATAATAAGATCTTTGTGAAATATGTAGAAATAAGGTAGAATCTTATTCTAGGAAGGCATTTTATTAAAATATACAATAAGGTGAACCTCTTTTTTAAAAAAAAAAACCTTACATTTATATTTTTCATTTTCATACTTTGAAACATGAAAGCAGAAGTAAAATGTCAGTTTGTAGATTTCATCTTCATTTTTTAATAGTAACAAACTTCACAGCTGTCTCTTTGGTTTCTTGTATTTCAATAGAATTTCTTTGAGATCTCTACTCCAATATCCTATGCCAACTCTTGGTAAAATATCATCTACTTGTATCACTTCAATATAAATAAGAACTTGCTCATACACTTTAAAAGGATCATGGTTTACCACAGGTTTCTTTTCTTTCATAAATATTTAGGGATGGGCAATTCAATTCCTTACCTTAATATTCCTGTATTAGAGATTTCTGATAATCCTGAAACTTTAGTGACTGCCTTATGAATATGTTCCTTATTAAAATATTTATCTGATTCTTCCACTAAATAAGAATTATGAACTTAGGTGTTCCTACTAGCTACTGTATATGTTGGTTTACTTTAACCATATAGCATGGTCATGTTTGTTTAAATTATTTTCATTATGTTTCAGTTAAAAATGTAATGCAGGATTGGAATTCATTTACTAAATTCAACATGATTTTAAAAGAAAATAATCTAAAGGAAAGTATAAACTCTAAAGTAAACTGTCATGGCTCATTGGAGTGGTGGATTGATTCAATACAAAGATCAGGCACTTTGGGTTTAGAAAATGGTCTGACTATTTAACAAAAAGGCTGGGTTCTTTTGCATGAGTAAGCCATTAAAATGTTCAGCATCTTACCCTTAGACCTTCCCTGGTTGATGAATCAATCCTAATATAGATCAACATGCAACTGTTTTCTTAAGCATAAAGTTCATTTTTTCAATGCTGAAAAGATTCACTTCTTTAAAATTCTTGTCATTTATTGATACTTGCTACATGTCATTTACTACATAGACTAAATGGTTACATATATTATTTTATTGAATCCCCACAAGACCCTCCCTGGAGGTATGAGTGTTGTCATTTTACTGAAGAGTAACCAGGCTACATACGTGTTTATGTAAAATGTAGACTTTTGAGAGAATGGCAAAACCAAGACAAGCTATATTTCTTCTCCCCTTAGATTTTTCCCTTTATACTTTTGTGAGTTATTTAATCTTGTTTAATATTTAGTTCTTTTAATTTTTAGCAATATGGTAATGGCCTGTGGTGAGCACAGATGCTTCAAGGGCTTAGATCCTTTTTCTTAGTCTCTCAGCTATTTATTATTAAGAAGCTTCTGCTCCATTATTTAGAGCAATTGAATTTCCCTATGCTTTTTCCCAAAACATTTCATGGAGCTTTGGGGCATTAACTACTTTGTGCCATTAAAAATACTACCTAGAGCTTAGAATGTGCCTCTTTTCTAAAGAGTAATTGAGGAAGATGTTTTAAATGATTTTTATTATTGAGGAAATGCTATACTTAATATCTTCATGATTCTTTTTTTTTAGTTTTATTGATTTTATTTTTTTAAATACTCGACAACAGAATGCATTACAGTTCTTATTACACATATAGAATAGAATTTTTCGTATCTTTGTATATAGAATATGTTCACGCCATTTCATGCCTTTATACATGTACTTTGTTTTGTTTTTTGGCATTTCAATTCTTATTACACATATATACCACAATTTTTCATATCTGTTTATATATAAAGTATGTTGACACCCAATTCAAGTCTTCATACATGTACTTTGGAAAATGATGTCCATCACATTCTAAAGACCTTTATTGCATTAGTGTAAGGCAAACTTCAGATTTAGGATTTAATATTTGACAGTTTTCTTATTAAATACCTAATAAACAAACTCAGTAAAGTTCTATTCTGTTATATGATTCAGTAATATCTATTTCCATTTTTAGATTTAGGACCACAAACTGTTAAACATGTCAGAACAGTTGTGTGACACAGAACATTGTAGTGATTGGCAGAACACTTATGATGACAGTCCCATGAAATTATAATGGAACTGAAAGATTCCTGTTACCTGGGACTTTTACTGCACCTTTTCTATTTAGATATGCTTAGATGCACAAATATGTTTGGTTTGTTTTAGTTGCCTGCAGCATTCAGTACAGTAATGTGTTACGGTTTGCAGCAATCAGCTGCACAGCCCAGGTGTAGGATAGGTCATATCAGCTACTTCTGTGTAAATACACTCTAAGTTGTTTACACAATGGCAAAAATCACCTAATGATTCATTTCTAAGAATGCATCACTATTGAGTGACACACAGTAAAATACATTTAGTATTTATGAATGTTTTCTTAATATTGCTATGTGAAAATATTGTTATTATCAATATTATCTTTCTTTATATACATTCTATGTGTTTCTACAGCAACTTCGATTTTTTAGGTGAGATTATTATCATGAGAAATTTAGGAAAACAAGTTTTTAGGAAAATATGTCAATACTAATGTAGCATATTAGAGTTAATGCAGACAAGAATTCAACAAAGATGAATGTATTACATAAGAAAAGCAAATGTCCCAAGAAGCTTAGAACAATTTGTGTGTGTGCATGTGTGTATATTATGGGATATTGAACCCAGGGCCTCACCCATATGAAGGGAATACTACTCTACCATGGAACTACATCCCCAGCCCAACTTACAATAATTCTTGCACAGAATTTTAGAAGTCAGTAAATAGGTACATAATGGAATACTGATGACTTTAGGGGAATATTCTGAGTGAATCAAATGATGTGGCTTATATCAGTCTTTTTCAGAATTCCTAATGGTTTATTTAGTCTTTATTAAGTCTTAACTACTTTCTCCTGTTGTGTATTTTCTTATCTGTGTTTACAGATACCCTGTTTCTAACAAAATCTGTAACAGATGAATCAATACTTTTCTCTGTTCCTGTCACACCTTAGTTCCAGTGTCTTTTGTAGCCTCTGTATTTTCTTTTGAGGTTTGATTTTCCTTCTTAGTGAATGTTTTCCTCCCAGGAAATGACCCAAGTATTTAAGAGATTAAACCTCACTATTTCCTAAGCCCCCTTTTTGTTCTTCCTTGTTCTTCTCGCCCCATCCCCATCCCTTTTGACCTGATTTGAGATTGAAAATGTGGTATTTTCAAGTAGAGTTGCCTTCATTGAGTCAGGTTACAGGGATGACTTGTGTTAGAGAGAATACAGTTAAACAACTAACCACCTACTTAGAATATTCTCAGCAAAGAATCTTTATAGCCTGCTGACAAATGGTGTTTTTTTCCAACAATACAATTTTATGCATATTATACTCCAAAAGAGCTCCTCTTCCCTGACAATCCAGCTTGTCTCTGTTTCTCTTTTTCAGAATAACAAAGCACATAGTTCTTATTCCTCTTATGGTTGATTTTCTTAAATTGAAGGGAAAATACACAATTTGGAGAGTTACTAGAAATTTGATTAAACTAATCTTATAGCTCTTAAGGCTTTCTTAGTGTTAGAAGGCTTAGTGTTAGAAGGCTTAGTTAGAAGGCTTTCTTAGTGTTAAAAGCTATATGAATTAGTCACGTGTGTAATTGTCTTTATGAAAAGTCATAAAAAATTAGTATTATTGGAAAATTAAAATTTATAAGTAAACAAGCTTTGACTAAACCCAGATATTTAA